GACTTGGCAGGAAGAAACAGGAGTTTTTGGCTTCAGAGACCCAGAATTACTGTTTGCAGAAGCCCCTCCTTTACCCACTTTAGGGAACTCCATATACTAAAGCTAAAGGTGTGAATGTCCCCCTGGGAATAAATCCCTATAATTCCATTTTAATCCTTTACAAATAGTGACAAGTTTTAAGTGGTATCTATCATGTAGAGTTCTGCTGATGCTCTAAATATAGAGATAAATATCTTGGGTCTAGGACTTTTCAAAGTCATTAGAACTTTGCCTTTCATGTGATAAACAGCAATTAATTTCAGACTCTTTATAGGCCTTCCAAACAAAACCTTTACTCTTTTAGTGTTCAAAGTACAAGTAGCTACTTTTGCATCATAATGTTTAAATTACCACTTTGAATTTCAGATGGCTTATCTGCACACCCTGAAGATAAACCCAGGCCTCATCCATCAATTTACCCACAGCTGGATTCAGCAACTCCTACAAATTCAAAGCAATCCCTGTGAGTAGTGTCTCATCAAGGAATGGGAATGGGGAACAGATCCTCAGGGATGTTAGTGCTCTGTAATTCATCTAGTGAATACAAGAAGCTCTGAGGACACATATTTACTACTTTTACATATTAGTCCAGTAAAGCAAGTGCAAATTCCCTCTGTGCTAGACATTGTTTGAGAGGGTTCAAAGTGCACTTATGCCTGCATCACTGTTTTGTCATAAATAGACATAAATGTACCTGACTTTCAGCAGGGAAAGTGAGAAACATGAAACAGGTCAGTAAAAGAGTTCAGGACAGGAGAGGTGTCCTTGTAATTCCTGTTCATGGGACACTGGTCCATCTGCCCACGCTGCTCTCAGTTGTGACACACAGGAAAGACAGGCCAGCCTAAAAAATAATGGAACAATCAGAATAAACAGTTTTGATCGTTTCTTACTTACATTTAATGTATTGCTCTCTCCTAGATTTGCAGCTGAAGCACAAAACAATAGTTTAAGGAGCCCAGCTGGACACATATATAGCAATGTGAACACATACAGCAATGTGAGTAATACTCATGTTTGGGATGATCACTCTTGTCTTGCACATGTCAAATGAGAACTTCTGGATTTATCCCCACTGCTGTCCAAGTGTGATGCCAAGTTCTCTTCTGTGGCCCTTCTCCATACCTCAGGGAGTATTCTACTTGGTAACTAGGTTAACTTTCCTCTTTGGCTGCCACAGATTCTAATGTGGGAGCCTGTTTCCTTGGGTTCAGCACAATCCCAGGGGAATTGGCAGAAAACACTTGCTCTGTTATTTGTGTTTAATTTGTTGCTATGCAAAGCAAGCTGAGATCTCCTCCTGTTGCCATGATGTTACTCTGGTATACTTTCTATCTCTAGTAAGATATTAAAAATAAACATAAAAAAAACCCCAAAAACCTCAAAGCCCCCACAAAAACATAGCCCACCAAAAAATCACTTAAACCCCAAGTACAGTGTAGGACAAATGTCATGCTGCAGAGAAACACCCATGACAGAAGGAATGGAAAAAATCTGAAGGGACTTTGAGATAATATTATGAAGGCAGTATGAAATAGAAAAGATGAAAAGCAGCTCCCAAACAAATATGCACAGTCCTTATTTTAAACTGCAAATAAAAGCAGATGTTTGAATCTGTGTATTGGAACAAATCACACAGAAGTAAATTATACAAATGTGCTACAGAGCAGTAAATGTTGCTTTGAAGGTTGTATGATGAATGAAGATTAATTGGGCTGCTAACTGTGGCCTTGGAATTTTACCTGCAGCAGTCAGAGAGTTTAAAGATAAATCAGCAATTATGTAAGTTAGGTCAAAGTAGTTCTCATAGAACAATCTGTTTATGCATTGTTTTGCTTGATGTCCTTAGTTGACAACTCTTTTAAGCCCTGTGCCTCTGAACCCAATAAGTCTGCAGGCTGTACAGACTGTGCCATCAAATGGACCAGCACCAACAGGTAATAAATTCTGCAAATCTCCTCTTTCATTTTCTTGTTAGAACTTAAGGCCTTTACATAATGGCTGTCTGTGACTAGGGACAGCAACAAACATTGACAAAGTCATACTGCTCGTGGATTCTGTTACACATCTGTCCATTTTAGCATGTAAAGCAGCTGAATCCATGGCAGATAATGTGCTACTTTCAGGAAGACACAAAAAAACATGAAGTAATCATGCTTTCATTCTTACTTAAATATGGATGTGTGTGCCTATCTTTATTCTTCAGCTACATCAAAGAACAAGTCACAGTCACCTCATTACTATGAGATAATGGAATTCGATCCCTTGGCTCCCACTGAGTAAGTAACTTTTTAAATTCTGAGGTACCAAAGGCAAAATGGCTTTTTCTTCTGAGAGGAAAAACAGAGCACTGTACTTAGGCTGAGTTAACTGACCAACTGCATCATTGATGTAAAGGACAGTGGGTGCATTTTGCATGGTTTCTTCCAATTAACCAATTGAGGAATAAACTGTAGCATCTCATTAACTGGTATCTGTAAAAATGCCAGTTAGCAGGTCAGGGTCCTGCTGGAGGAAGGTGACTGAACTTCAGCATAGGTAGTTCTGAATGAGGTAACCAAAGGAATTTCTGTTCATAGCAATCCTGTTTTTTAGATAATGTTTTTCTACTGCATATGAAAAAAAATCCTTCGTTTAAGTATAAACTACAAGGGGGAATGGATGTTGTGTCTCTCAAGGAGGTCAAAATAGTGAGACAGCAAACTAATACAAAACCTAACAGATGGCAGAACTCCCCTTTCTAACAGTAAATAGCAAAAAGAAAAAAATATTGAGCTATTTGTACAAAACTTATTTCTAAGGAGTCATATTTTGAGGTAGGCAAATCTCAACAAAGCTTCCATTGTTTTTGGGTTTTTTAATTAGTGCAGTAATTGCACTGTGGTGCACTTGTGATTTGTGTTTTGCAGTCCTGTTCCCAAACTTGTTTGATCAAAAGTGGCAATGTCCAGAGGTTCCTCATTAAATGTACAGTCAGACAATCAGAGCAGGGTTGACTCTTCATTTCCATGGAAACCTGGGCATCCTGCAAGGGAAGCTACACAGTAAACTTTGAATAGCATTTCCCTAGTGCATTTTGTCAAAATGAAATGTGATGTAGGAGTCACCCTGTTCCTTCTGTTTCAGACCTGTTTATGAAGAAATTGATGTTGTTCTGAAGACAAAAGTTAAAAAGAACACAGACTGAAGGTGGAGGTGAACACTCTCTGGTGCTGGTCCTGTGCAGTGCTTCCTGTAACTACAAGTGAATAACAGAAGAGGTTTTGCATTTTGACACAGTAATTAGTGTTGGAGTACTAAGCTCTGTGCAAGTTGAAGAGTTACTTGGCTTTACACCTTGGCAATTTGTCCTCAAAGTTCAGCTGTGTGTTCTTCAAGGTCACTTGCATGGATATTTTAATGTATTTTGGGGCCTGTAAAATGTGACTTCCAAATTCACCTGTGTATGAAGTAACACTTGACACCTGGCACAAGTAAACAAAAAAGACATTACATTCACAGAAACTGCAGGATCCAGTTTCTCTTTCAGCCTCACTGCTATATTCTTCTCCCTAGAAATCTGTAAGGGGGTTTTGAGATATAGTAATTTTTTTTTTCTAAAATTGGCCTCTTGATAGATGTCTGAAGACATTCAGTGTTACTTTCTACATCCTTAATACAGATTTTGCTTTCTATTTTCTTCCTAAAAACCCACAGTATAGCTGGATTTTTGTCTTGGGAAGAACCTAAGCTGGGACACAAAGTATTGTCATCCATAATTAACACAACTGGAAAAAAACCTGCTTGTTCCTATGTTGTTGTTGTTGCTTTTATTTACTCAGTAAATATTGGAGGGGGATCAATTATCTCTTTCAATGTTCCTGCCCTGCAGAGATTGTTCTGGTGAAGGAAAAAATAATCATCTACAATGCAGATGAGCAATAGTTACCTAATTTGCTTTAATTAAGTTGTTTAATCAAGTGCCTTATCTATTTTAATGCTGAATGTAAACTGTGCACTTTAACAGGTATAGTTCTCTGAATTTATAGCTGATACAGAATTTGAGAAGCTAGTTCATGTTCACATCAGATAAGCTAACTTTTGGTGAAACAACTGCATTTTAAACATTCCTTATGTTAACTGTTTAAGGGATAAGTTCTCAGCTGCTTTTATAATTTTTGTAGCATAAAATTCCAAATAAAAGCAAATGCTTACTGAGAAGTAAACTTTCATCTCTTCCAAGTTTTTCTCTGTGTATTCCCTGAATCATAAATGTAGGTAGCACTGGAAGTATTTTAGTGTGAATCTGTGCAGTTTGCTGCAGGATCATTAAAACAACTTGCTTCTATCCAAAACACAACTTTCAAATAGTCTGAGAGTTTTGTAAGCTGAGGTGAAAAGCTGAATTGCTTTACTCTCATTTTTCTTGCAAATTTGCAGTGGTCTGGACAGCAGCCTGAAATAACAGCTGAAAATAGGATTTGAGGTGGATTGATTTTTTCATTTTTCCCCTAGAGCTGGGTTTTATTGACAGAACCTCCACAGTGAAAGGTAACAAATCAAACTGGGCTATTCCAGTGTAATCCATAATGGGTGACTGCTGATGTAACCTCTCTGTGTTCAAAGCTGCACAATGGTCACAGAGAGATGGAAGGGAATTGCCTAATTACCAAGGTTAGAGCCTGTGTTATAGAGGGAATGTGCTCAGCATCTGTGCAAATTTGGGCTTTCAAACCTTGGGGAGAACACACATTTTTACAGAGTTACTACTTGTCAGGGGGATATTCCTTTTCTTCTAAAGAATGTGGCCAGAATAAAGCAATGTGAGGAGAACTGCCATAATCAATTCAGCTTTCAGAAGGACAATGGACTAAAGACAACTGAGGTAAGAAGTTGTTTTTTTCCCTTAGTCTGGATTCAAAGATTTGTCTTGATGTTATTTTTTTTCCTGAAGTATAAAATGCATTAGAGATGAAAGAATGAAAAGTTCTCAGTCTTTAATATGCAGTGAAGACCTGAATGTCATCCAGAATCTGTTTAACCAACACAAGTAATTGGTACAATTTTAAAGGTAGCATCCATTTATTTTCAAAAAAGCAGGTTTTGACTTATTGTATGCAAATATAATTGAGACTTCAGTAACTGGAAGTTATTTCTTAAGTACCCATTGCTTTTTCAGAGTCCAGGCTAACCAACATGAGCCTTACTTTGTTCATTCTCCTCTGCTGGAAGGGGTAGAAAGACCCAGCCCAGAAGAAAATACTGTCTGATAGTAATTTCTGTCTGAAAATAAGCAGGTTACTTGAACTTGCTCTGCAACTTGCTACTGGTTTGCAAGGCAGTGATGAAGTGTTGTTAGTCCTAACCCACAGATAAAAAGCTACATAAATACAGGCTTACATGTTCTGATGGTAGAGAGTCCCCCTGAAGAGCTGCTGCACTGCTGAGCAGGCTCTGGCCAACTCAGCCCCTGAATGGGCTGATTTTGGTTTTTGAGGCAGTGTCTGAGCTGTTCATTCAGCTGCAATTCAGAGCAGTTGTTTATATGCTGCCCTCCCCTCAAGGCATGTCGGACACCAGCCAAGCTTGTCTCCTGTGGAGGTGCCCAGAGTAGAGCCCTCTGCAAAGAGCACTCACTAACAGCACAGCCACTTCAAATGAGTGGGACACAACGTGGAAATAAGATGGCTTTTCCAAATGGAAACCATCCCACAGATCTGATGTGCTTATGCTTAAATTACTGTTCTCATGATAACAATTTTAGAGCAGTCTGCTCTTACCAAATGAACTACTGATTCAGTAATAACATGAGAGGGTGCATCACCTTCTGAATCATCATCTCCTCCTGTGCCAGGGAAGGTTACACAGAAATAACACTCTAACTTTGTTTAGTTATGAGATTTCCTTAATTTATTACCTGGGTTTACCTTTTCCTAATGTAACTTAACGTGCAAGTTATTTTCTGGAGCCAGCAATAGAATTTTAGATGTTTAATCAACAGATGTTTTCTTCTGTATTTAAATGAAGACCTTAATTTACATGTTAGTTTAAAAATTTGCCTTATGGTATTCAGATAACATCTTACAAAAAGATGGCCTGAGAAAACCCTCTGTATTTCAGGAACAGTGTGTTCCCTTCCACTCTCTGATGAAGAAATACTATCCCTAAGAAATAGGGAATACATTATGTTGGTTTCCAAAAAAAATATATATATATATACATATACTTTCATAACAGTGTATGCCCATGGAGGTTTAATATAATTTCATACTGCACAGTACTCCTGCAGTTTTTTCTTCCAAGGAAAAGTGGCATCAAAACTGGCACTCAGATGTAGCAGAAGTCACATTTTGTAGTTACTGATACCCAGGAAGTGGCAACTTCTGTCCTTCCTTTGCTTCAAAGAAGGTGTAAGAGAGGGTGATCAAATCAACTTTAGCCATTTTAGGGTCCTCTGCAAACTCTGGGTCAATGTAGAAAAAGACAGGCATGTCCACTTCCTCCTGAGGATTTAGCCTCTGTTCTTCAAAACAAAAACACTGCAGGGAGGAAAACAAAAATCCACAATCAGACAACAATAGCGACAATGAGTTTTTATCTGCCAACATGAGAGAAATCTTCATGTTTTAAAATAAACTCTCCTTCCCTCTACACCCCTAAAACCCTGGGAAGGATCAGTAAGATGAGCAACACGACAGCAGCTGTGGCCATACAGGAAAATTCTGCTACTGTGATGATATAGGAAAATAATTAGCTTTTAATGAAGTGTGTAAAGGTGTCAAGGGGTGAAGGTATTTTCATTGGCACAAGAGAAATGGTGTCTAGGATTAAAATGCAATTTATGGGTAACTGTTTTTGTTTGTGTAAAAGAAAATGCAATCTTAGCTTTGTTCACACTTACTTGTATTTTATTGAAATATTGTCCTGCTTCAAAGGGGACGACGTTGTAGGTGGAGATCCCAATTATTGGTTTGTCAGTAGGATTTTTTGCTTTATAAAATGCCAGTGCAGTCTCTCCTGGTACCACCTGTGTAATATAATTGTACAGTGATTTTCTTTTTCTTTTTTTAATCCACTGCAGCCCTCCACCCCTCAAACCAAGTTCTTTATCTAGAATTTTCTTTTTTGCTGTGTCAAATTGGTTATTTCACAAATTTTTGATTACATGCAATTCATCCATATTCAAAATTAAAAGCTTCAATACTGTTCTACCTATTTTTAATCTGACCCGTTTTGCCTGAGTCTTCTATTAGGCTCAGCAGCTCAAAAGCACACAGGGCTTTTTTAATAATCAGATTTATATATGGTGTGCTTTTAATTTCTGAGGTTATTCTTTCAGTACTGGACTCAGAAACTATTAAGCATGATTCCTTATTTTGAGAACTAATTTGAAACAGAACAGTTAATTTGTAATTTTTTTAAATATAAAAAAGTTTTTATAGGGATAGCGCAATAGGAGAAACACTACAAGTTTAGATATACTGTTATACTATATATTTTTGAGTATATATAAATATATACACACATTTTTACAGTGTATATACCATGTGCCTGTGGTGTATGTACCATGAAGTGTGTACATATATATTGTTTTGATAACTTTTGAAAGCTTAATGGGGTAGCAGAGGGGCAACTACACATCATGTCCTGTAAAAAGGACATTGCCGTGGGGGAGCATGTCCAGCAAAGGGCAATAAAGCTGGTGAAAGTTCTAGAAAACATGTCTGGGCTTGTTTATTCTCAAGAAGAGGAGGCTCAAGGGGAACATGAGTGCACCCTAGAACTAGTGACAGGTGCTTGTAGTGCGGTGGGGACCGGGGCCTTAGGCCGTGCCTGCACTCAGAGGACCAGCGGAAAGGGCCTCAAGCTGAGACTGGGGAGATTCCCATTAGATATTAGAAACATTTTCCGCTGTTGGTGTGGCCAGGCTTTGGGAAGGGCTGCCCAGGGAGGTGGTGGAGTCCCCATGCCAGGCGCTGGGTGCCGTGTTTCAGTGGTTTCAGTGGTTCCAGTGGTTCCAGTGGCAGTGCCGGGAGCGCGGTCGGATCCCAAAGGCCTCTTGCCCCCGCGGCTGTGCGGGGGGAAGGCGGTGACTCACGTAGATCTCGCTCTGCTGCGGTTTGAAGTTCCACTGGATGCTGGCGTGGGTGTCGGCGTTGAAAGTGACCCTGATGCGCCGGTCCCGGACGGGCTCCATGCGCTCGATCCGCTCCGCGTCGCGCTCCGTGCCCGCGGTCCCGCCGAGCCCCGTGGCCTGTCAGGGAAGGGCAGTGAGGGCCCCGCGCCCGCGGAACCGGCGCCGGCCGCGGGCCCCCCGTACCTGGCAGTAGAGGCGGTAGAGCGGCACGGCCGCGTACGACAGCCCCACCAT